CATCCCAATCCCGTGCCAGGCCCTTTCCATGATCCCTGAGCTGCCTCGAGTCCATGGGGCCACCCTGGAATTCCCCCTTGGCCCCAAATCACTGATGGGAGTGAAGGGATTTCAATTCTTCGTTCCTAAATTTGATCCCTCTGTGGGTGTTGGCAGCCCTGGGGCAGATCAGGAATTTTGCTGTTCTCCAGGCTTTTTCTCAGGAGTGGGATATAAAATCTGATTTCATCACAAAATCATGGGATATTGGATCTTTTTGACCACAAAACCCTGGAATGGTTTGGGTGGGAAGGGACCTCAAAGCCCATCCAGTGCCACCATGGGCAGGGACACCTCCCACTGTCCCAGGCTGCTCCAAATTCCTCGGATTTCCCCAAGTCTGGCCTTGGAATGTCTGAAAAAAAAAAAAAGGAAAAGAGCAACAAACCCCCTCCAGCTGCCCTGGGATAATGGGAAGGGGGAGTCCCTGGGGTGGAGGGGCTTTCCCAGGAGCTGCTCCCCCCTCTCCCAGCTCCAGGTGCTGTTTTCCAGGTGGAACACCTGTACATGCTGGTCTGCCAGGCACTGGACTGCATCTCCAACAAAAAGTGAGTTGGGATTTTCCAATCCCATAATCCCAGAGGGGAATTTTCCCTGCCCAGAGGGGAATTTGTCCTGCACAATCCCTGCTCTGGGGATTGCCCTGATCCTGCTCCAGGGCCATCCCCACTCCCATTCCTGCCCTGGAAGTGCAGCCCAGGCTTAGGAATGACACCCCAGGGGTAACAAACAGGACCAGGGATGCTTTTCCTTCTGGCTGATGGAGATTTCAGAGTCCAAAGGAGCCCGAGGGAACTTTTCCCAAAAGGAAAATCCCTTTTGTGCTGCCAGCTCCTTTGGGCTTTCACACTGACACGAACCAGAGGGAAAACCCCATTAATTCTTTTTGGAGGGACCGTGGCAGGGTCAGAGGGACCCTTTCCCACCATCCCATAGATCCTGGGCCTGTTTTTCCCCAGGAAGCAGAAACTCCCCAGCTCCCTGGGCCCCGACGGCCGCGACGCCGACGCCACCTTCACGGACAAGGAGGTGGAGGTGAGCTGGGCTCTGTGCTCCCTGTCCTCCTCCTGGGAGGCCCTCGCTGTCCCTGGGGGCTGGGGTGACACTGGGGGGCTTTTCCTGGCAGCTCCTGTCCCTGGATGACATCCCAGAAACCAGCCAGGCCAAGGTGGACACGAGGAGGAATCAGCAGATTTCTGTAAGAGGAACCATTGCTGTTTTATATCTCTTTTTATTTCTCCTTTTATTCTGCTGTTTATCACTCATTTTCCTCCTTTTATTCCTCTCTTTATCCCCCCTTCATCCTTTTCTCTTTTTGTTTCTCTTTTTCTCCATTTCCTCTCTCTTTTTCCTTCCTTCTCTCTCCTTCTCCTTTTTAC